ACAAAAGGTTAAACCCAATAGGATAGGGATGAAAGGAAGGAATTGATTGGTCTCGTTGATTGTTCCCTTCACTCCAAACAAGAAGGCATGAAAGTATGCATATTCTTATCAATTTAATAAGCTTAGAGCGCCTATATATTTGGGTGCATAGAGATCTTCTTCTCTGTGCATAAGATTTCTTTCAGGTGATAAAATCATGGGTTACACACCCTTTTGTATTTTCTTAGTGGGGTGGTACTATATCTTTTTGATTATTTTATTTATTAATTTATTCACCCCAGTTAAGGCTCTATTTGACATTGTTACTTGCGGAAAGTGTTAGGGAAAACATAATACCAGTTCTGTTATGACTGGGAGAATCTCACGTTTTAAGCCCACACAGGATGCCATAACGTGAGGCTCAATAAGTCATGACATACCATTATTACAGGGTAATGTTAATTTGACAATTTTAAATAAAAAATATAGTTAATGCATTAAATTGCTAGATCATGTAAACATATATAATGTAATTCAGATTCAATAATGTTGAAAAGAGTACTCCTATCTGTAAGACATGATTTAAGTTATAGCAAGTTTATGTTTTGCGTTTGAAAGACTTATGCAATGTTGGAGGATTGGTACATCCAAAAAAAAAAAAATTTGAATTTAAATTTCAATGCACTTTGAGTTTTATAATGTTATTCAATAATATATTGTCATATTATTTAATAAATAAATTAAAAGCATTACTTCTTCAATTTATGATTAAATCAAACACCAGACAAATTTGAATAAATATAAAGAGATAAGAAAAATAATACCACGAAAAGTATGTGGATCAATGATGGAGATTGTTCTAAATTGAAAACAAGAGACTTTGGGTAGTATATTACCATTTATGGATTGTGTAATCAACACAGATGTTAAATCTATCTCCAACTCATCTCAATTGAAGCCAAGCATGATAATGATATTTAGGTGCGTGCCAATAAACAGAACCGTTGGCATAATCACAGAAAAAAACAAGATTCTTAACAAATCATAATTTTAATAGATGGGAGTACAAAGGAAAGAATGAAAAAGATAAAAAAATAAAATAAAAAAAATGACGGAAGGAAAGGTTCTCCCTTTTATGGGATGACAGAACAAAGGACCCAAACAAAAAGTAGAGCAAAGTGTGGCTGTAGAAAGTTGTAGTCAGAGTCCAAAATAAAAATAGAAAAAGGTTCGAGTCAATGTAAGAAAGAACAAAACCAAATCGCAAAGCATCTATGAACCGGCTTATAAAGTAGAGCAGTCTTTGAATATTTCAGTAAATACTTGCAAAGTTAACGAGCGTGATCACCACCAAAGTTACCCATTAGTGAATGGAAAGGTTCAATACACGATAAATGACGAGGCAATCTATAAATGAATACATAAAACGGATGTGCGTGAATCGAAAGGTTAAATACAAGATATATGTTTTGAGAATAGAGGTTACTTTTTTTTTTTTCGTGTAGGATATAATTTTATTTTCTACAGACACATAAAAATGTGTAAAACTTATGTAGGGTTATGTGAAAAAAAGAGAAAAAAAAAATTAAAAACACTATAAACTTATATATATATGCTATACACTTTTATTTATATATATATATATATTTGAAAAAATATTTCTTCGATAACTTGAGATAAGTTTATCTCCGGTTACCCTAAAACTACGTCATTTTGTTTATTTATTTCTTTATATTATTTATTTCTTTATATTATTTGATTCACCTTTGAATGGTTATGATTCTCTTTTTCTCTCTTTTCTTTTATCACCACTGATCCATCTTTGTACGATTATGATTTAGTAGTCGGAGATAAAATTATCTCAAGCAGTTTCAGAAACGATAAGCTCATATATATATATAAACATATATATATATATAAGGGAAAAAACATTTATCCTTTTAAAGGATATAATTTTATGTCATTTTAGATCATAACCGTTAATTTTTGTCAACCAACAGTTAAGATTTACTGGATTTTATTGCTAATTACAAATGAGTTAATATGTTTGATCAGTAAATCATAATAATTGATTGACGAAAATTAACTGTTAGGATCTAAAATGACACAAAATTATATCTTTTAAAAAGATAAATATTTTTTCCATATATAAGATAAAATTATTTTCTATAACATAAAAAATATTAATTCCTAAAGAATAATATAAAAATTATTAACATAGCCTAACATAACATTTTAAACTTTTGAGATGAATCGCATATATCCAAGATAGTACAAAAAGGATGGTGTCTCGTTTTCATTCAAGAAAATACCAAATCTCAAATGAACATTATAAATACATAAAGAAAAATCTTAGATAGTACATTTCTCGTTCGAGAGGTTGATCAAGCTTTTTTGTCACCTAATAATCATCAGTTGGGTAGGAGGTTTGTAGTTGTTAATATTACCTGGCAGTTCCCGGAACCTGGTTTTGTAAAAATTAATATTGATGGGGCTGCTAAAGGTAATCCGGGCCCAGCTGTTTGTGGTGGTATTATTAGGGATTCTGCTGGAAAGTGGTTAAAAGGGTTTGCTTTGAAGCTTGGTGCCTGTACAGCCTTCAAAGCTGAAATGTGGGGGATCCTTCGTGGTTTGGAACTGGCGTGGAGTGAAGGTTTTCGTCAAATAGAGATTGAAAGTGATTCAAAGAGTGTTATATCTGTGCTCACCAAGGAGGGAGGAGCAGTCCGTGAGGGTCATCTGATTACTCGAATACAGACTTGGTTACAAAAAGATTAGCGTGTTAAGATTAGCCATATTTATAGAGAGGGTAATGCTTACGCTGATTGGATGACAAATTATATCCTGGATGCTGAAAATGGGGTCACAAATGTTTTTTTGTGAGAATCCTCCTACTGGTATTTATTTTTTATATTTAGCTGATTTTTCTTCTGTAGGGAGAGATTGTGCTGTAATTGTTGATTAGTTTTCCTTGTTTGTTTGGGCTTTTGCCTTTTGTTCACCCAAAAAAAAAAAATGGTTGCTAGTAATCATCATTATATTGAAAATTTGTTAGTAATTGTCGTTTGGTGTTCAATTTAAATTATAAAAATCGAAAATATTATCATAAGATGGTTAAAATCGTATTTACGATTGTTTTGATGGTTTAGGCACATCCGTATATCACATCAATTGAAAGTATAATGGTCGTAAGTGGCGGGACCAATGCCTAACGAGCTTTTAACCCCAAAGTCCCAAAGCCTAAAGTTAGGCCATCGATGGTTAATAAGGAGAGAAACACCGTCAGGTGGAGTGAGTTTGAAATATGATATACTATTCGCTGATGGGTGGGTCCCCAACTTAAAAATCTATATAATTCCTCGTTTGAACGGTCAAGCTAAATTATTGATGTTCATGTGAAACATTTAGCTACAGACTCTTTTCAATCTTGTAATCCCCATCGTCGTCTCCTTTCACTTCTTTCTCTTTGCATCTTCATGTTCTCGCAAATTTTTTTTCCCCTTTCTATTCTTGTACTTCTTCCCATCTGACAAGGATTGTATGTTTGTACGCTTGCTTTTGGGCTTAATTGTGCAAATAAAGTAAACCACAATAGTATAAGATTAACTTTATATGTCCAAAGCTATGTTCCAACCAAAACAAAAAAAACTGTGTCTACATACATATCATCTACTGACTACTATAAAGCTATTTGGAGGTTTAACTATACCACATGGCTAAAGGTTGACTATTTCATGCGTTGGGCTTAATGTTGATTTGATTTGCAAAAATGAATGATACCGTGGAATAAAAGCGGAGTATATATTTTATGGAAATGGATCCTTTTATATATAAAATTACATATGAGAACATTCAATTCCATATTCTAACAATAAGACACAAATTAAAAAAATTAAAAAAGAATAAGCAAGCTATTATTAAGTTTAAACTGAGAAGAGCTTCTTGTATTTGGAGATAAGTTAATTGGATTGAATAGTTCGAGTCTACTTAGCTTATGGACGATTTCTCTTTACCATAGTGCACGCTTTGATAAGAGGGGTATTAGAAAAATTGAAGTTGGTGAGGGAAAAAGCTATGCAGATTAAACAAAGGATACAAAATTGACTTTTAAGGGATATGTTGCGTATAGCTAGTAGCTATAGATAATATAATCTACATAGCCTTTGCTTTTTTTAGTCTAAACGGGTGATGCGGAGGATGTTCATATTAATTCAAGAGAAGTAATACACTGTAGCATGTTAAACAAAACTCTTCAATTTTAGTACTTGTATATTTGGGTTGAAAATAAATAAAAAGAAAAGAAATCATAGGCTTCTCCACCTTGTTTTCATTTTTTTCATATCTCATTTTGGGTTTTCCAAATTGCAAATTTGGCAAGGATGATAATAACTAACAAGGGGAACATGAATCCTTTGGCCGATCAACCATCATATAAGTATATTAACCGTACAAAATATGATGATTGAATTTGAGGAGGATATAATAGGAATTTCAGTATTACATTATGAGCTTAAGTTATAATCAGCAATGCACATGATGGGTTTTGAGGTTGGTTGGAGGGGAACGAGGACACGGGCAACTTGAGTAACCACTAACCACATCGTGTGGTTTGGTTCGAACCCAGGGACATGGTCAGGTCAACAATGCACAATGCGAGTGTATTCTAGTGACTAACTAGTGAGTGCTCATTGACCCCATAGCAAAAAAAACAAAAACATTCACAAGGTCATGATACAATAACCCACGGGGCCACACAGAGAAAGAGAGAGACATCCATTAACCATAGGCTTAGGCTACTGTGATTCATCATTGTACACTTAAGAGCTTGCGTGCACTCCTGTGTCCTCACTCCTCACGCGCGGGCACGTATGAACTAATCTTCCACAACACTCACAAATTCTTTGTATTTTTCTTTACAATTCAATGAATAAATTATTATTTTTAATCCACTTCAATCGAGGGCATATGTGTCAATGCATCTTCTATATAATTCAACAACCCTTCTTTCTTCTTGGTTACACACGGTTACCATTTTCCACTTTGACTGTACTCAAGTCACGCTTGCTCCCTCTTCTCAACTGCTTCCGTCTTTTCCTCAACAAATTACCTTGTATGTTCTCTTTTATCATTAGCTTCATGCTGTTCTTTTTAATGAATCTTATGTTCTACCTCTATTATTTCTGTAAGTTTCTTTGTGTTTTTTGTTTTTATTTTGGTTGTCACTCCTGGGATTATTTATTGATAAAACTGTTTTAGTCTGAATCTCGTTTTTCGCATGAGATCTCGTGGGGAAATTTGTTTTCTTTTGGAATCTTGGGTAATATTTTATTTTATTTTTTGGCAAATTTCTGCTTCCATTTTTTAGCTCAGTGCTCTTGAATTTTCATCCATGGTTTTTTTTTTTACGAAGTTACATATTTTCTCGTTGTAAAATGTCTCCATTCCGAAGCTAATGTTTTTTTTGTTTTTTTTGAATTTTCCCCACCTTACTGAAGATTTATAGCTTAGATTGAACTGAATCAAGGTTTTGTTTTGCAAATAAGATTCAAGATAAAAGAAAGAAAAAAGGAAAAGTTTTTCCTTTTCATTTTGTTCTTACTTTTTTTTTTTTTTTTATAATTGATTTGGTTCTATCTTGAACTGAATTAAAAGTTGTTAATCTGTGCAAATTGTTAGATCTCTGATGTCAAAATTCTATTGCAGGGTGCTAAACGGGTTTGTTTTATTTTTTTGGCTGAAAGAGTAGTGGTGGCTTTCACTTTTTGGATAAGGATACAGCAGCATGCCGTGGTGGCTTAGTCTCTCTGTTGATGTATACCGCAAAGTGATTTCCTTGAACCTGTATTGCAAAGTGATTCTGTAACTTGCAAATCCTGTGACCAAAACTTTTTTTCAATCTTCTCATATTCTTCTCTTCCTCGCCTCACTTCAATGGGATCCACTTTCTTTATTGTCGTTCCTTGTTATGTCCGTCAGATCAGTTGAAGGATAGCTACCACTTCTTGTTTTTAAGCTCTTTCGTCCAACTGAGTCTAGTTTGATTACCCGTTATAACCTCTTAGTTGTCATTAGGGAGCCTTTTTCTCTTTAGGAGTTTACCAGTCTCATTAGTAAGTAAATTTTGTGTATTGTTCAATTCATCAAATTCTGTTCCACTGGCGCGGGACTGTTCAGACTTTACATTAATTGTTTGCGGGAACATTGTGGTTCTTCTATTTTGAAGGGTTGGAAAGTAGTTATGGTATTTCAAGCAGCGAGTCAAACCAGATTTCGGGCATTGAAACATGAGAATGGAACAGCAGGGAGCTCCACCATAATAGTTAGAATTATAGCATGTTTTCAACCTCTCAGAGAATGCCAGGTATGATAAGGATTGAGGAAATAGCCCTATCTCTGAGATTATTGTTTTTTTTTTTTTTTTAATTTTTAATAGTTTGCAATCTTTCGGTTGTTCTCATGATCTTCATGGAAGATATCAAGTTATGAACTCATATTAATTTTTGCTTTTGGGTTTTATCCAGGCTGAATACTTCCGTCATTTGCTCAAACCTGTGACGTAATTGTTTTCTGCCTTGCTCCTTTTGGGTTAAAGAGGTGGTTTTAGTTGTTTTCCTTGTTGGTGAAAGAGAAGCCATTAGTAAGAGATAGCTCTTGTGTTGAAATCGTTTTTCTTCAGGTATATATTGCATTGTTAATTTATCATTCATTCATTGAAATTTTTCTTATCTCTGCTTGTCTTTCATTTTGGTTATTTGTTAATTCCATGGTTATATGTTTTTAGATTCTTTAGGTGATTGTTCTTGTTGAATGGGAGAAGATTGTGGAACCTGGATACCCCAGCTGCATTTTGATTGGCAATCACACAATTTGAGTTCCTTTGGTGCTCCCCTTGATGTGGGGAAGCAGAATTGTACTTCTGCAGTTATGAATCCGTGTGTCGATATGGTCACAAGAAATGAGCCATTGCCAGCTTATGTGCCCTCTGCACAACCTCATTTGCAGTTAGCACATTCTAATGAACCTCATGGTTGGTTTTATTGTTTGCCTCGATTTCGTCAGGGGTTTATGCCTGCTCCAAACTCCACTGCTCAGGAAAAACTCCCTGCTGGCCATGTGAAAGGTTTTAAGGAGGAAATTGCACCCAATGGGGAATCTGTTTTCCCTCAGAAGCAATTCCTGGTCATTGACCAAACTGGTGATCAAACAACTCTCATTTACAGTTCAAGATTTGGGAGTCCAGTTGAGTTCCTTGCTTCCCGCGACTCAAAACTTCATGGTTCTAACGATTTGAATGGGAATGAACCTTCTTTAAAAAGAGATTTGAATCGTGTGGTTGGACCAACTTTGAATGATAAAGTTGATGAAAATCAGGGAAATGACATTGAAAGCGAGATGCATGAGGACACAGAAGAAATCAATGCATTGCTTTACTCTGACAGTGATGGTTATTCTACTGAGGATGATGAAGTTACTAGCACTGGGCATTCGCCCAGTATAATGACCACTCATGATAACCAGGAACCCTTAAAGGGAACAGCCGAAGAAGTTGCTAGCTCTGCTGGAAAAACAAAGAAGCGGAAGCTATTCGATGGGGCTTATGATGACGACACGCACCTCATGGACACTGCCAGTTCTCTGAATCTGAGCAGACCCTTTGACATGGGTGGAGATGATGCAGAATCAAGATGCTCTAGTGGCAACTACAGTCAAGGGTATAAGAAGATGAGAAAGGAGAAGATACATGATGTTTTAAGCATTCTTCAGTGCATTGTTCCTGGTGGGAAGGGCAAGGACGCAATCGAGCTTCTGGACGAGGCCATACGTTGCTTGAAGTCCTTGAAACTCAAGGCTAGAGCTCTTGGACTTGATGCCCTTTAAGTGGGAGACTTCTTAGCATTTATCAATGTGTGTAGTACGTTATATTTTGAGTTTTGGTCTGCAGAATAAACAAGGTATATTCCCGTTTTATCTGAAGATGTATTCGGCAAAGAAAAGGGGGTGTGGAAGTGTAAAATCCAAATATTGTGAAGGGACCCTTTCTCAACTGAGTTGAAACTTAGAAATCAGCTGGTCCTGCCTTTGTAATTTATGTGTTGTGTGTGAAGAAAGAAGGGAGGTAATTCAGCATAATATGCCGCAATAAAGGAAATATGAATCATTAGTCTATGTCTTAGGGGTTAGAGAAAGTAGCACTATCGCAGGCATGGGATGTGAGCTGTTTTGAATGAGAAGACTGGTTGTTCCATAAAGTACCCAAATATGAGAGTGCACGCGTCTTGGTTGTTATGTGGCCCAACCTCGCGCTACCTCTTTTTGTATCCTTGTCATGTTCAATCCTTTGTGGGTTTACCTTTTCTCTGATGTACAAATTTTATCACTAGCGAAGCACCGTCCCTTTTATGAAAGATTGACACAACTTGGGGAAGGGCCCCCTCCTCATACACTCACAATTTTCCACTTGGAGGAGACGGTGCATTAATGTAAACTCGCTTGGGGGAAACACTGATTTTTGTGTTCTATGTTCTGTTTAGTGGTGTTATTATTATGGGCTTCTGTTGTGTAAGGGATGATATCTTGGTTGGATGTAATTCAATGTGGTTGGTGTTACTGTTGTCTTTTTGCCTCTCTAGTTACGTCGCATGCTCGCATTTATAATAATGAGAAAGTGTCGACGCGTTTTAAATTTTTATTTCCTTAGCTTAAAAGTTTTTTTTATTAAATGTACTTAAAATTGTAATTATTATTGTTATTTAGATGATTCCTCTGTGATGACAAGTATGAAAAGTTCTCATGGATGGTGGGGTGATAAGGGCCTAAGGGGACCACAGCGTTGAATTATTAGTGAAGAAGATACATATATATAAATGAGAGAGATAAAGGGAGAAAGGGGCATGACGGTGGTGGTGGTGAGTGGTGGTGAGTAGTCAATAGTCATGGTAAGTATCAAACGAAAGAAAAAATTGTTGAGATATATAGTCTCACATTGTTTGTATACGTAACTAATGTGAAATTTATAAGGTCTTGGACACTTTCACCCTTTGAGCTAGCTTTTGGGTAGTGTATCTCAAGGTTCTTTATATGGTATCAGAGCCTTGTCGCCTCTCACTTTCTCTTGTGGCGTTCCTTAACATAGGTAGGCTGGACCTGTTGCATTATCCACTCTTCAAGTCCAATGGGCTCTCGTGTGAGGGGGCGTGTTGAGATATATAATCCCACATTGGTTGTATGTGCAACTAATGTTTATGAAGTTTATAAGGCCTTGGGCATTCACCCTTTGAGCTAACTTTTGGAGTGGTGTATCCGTAGGTTCTTTACAAAAATCTTGTACAGTGATTTGTTAATTCCATTGATCATATACTGTGTAAACGAAACTTGCCATTGCTTGAGCAGCTTGTTAGTATGTGTTTTCTTGGTGGCCTCTCTTTTCTCGGTGGAGGACATAGATAGGGTGGACTTTGAATCCCTTTTATTCATTTTTCTTCTGGGATCATTTTGTTCAGCAATGCATTACCAAATAGAATATCAGTATAGTTTTTTATTTTGGTTATAAATACTCAGTATTTTTTTTTATATCTATTGTAGTTTTGGCTCAGTATTAATGACTACGAATTTGATCAGAGGGGTGGACTAACTCTTCTAATTGAACCTACCGGGCCATATCTTGCATCATTCTTGGTAAAATTTATCTTTAAATCGTATTTAATGATGAAACATAATAATTGGATTTCCTTGAGTAAATCATTACGAAGTTCGATATTAACATGAAGCACATTTTAATTAATAAAAACATTATTACATATTTTAATCGTGTATAAAAGATAGTGATCAGACCAAATATAATATGGGCTGATCAATATGTATTGGGCCTAATCACACACGGTTGAGACATAGATGAAGTTTTTTGCCTTTGGGCTTAGAGTTATTGTTGAGGATCAGTATGCCTTTATCCTCTGCTATCGCGGTGAATCCGAATGGGGGTACCTGCGAAGACACTCCGATGCTTAAGTCAGTATCAGAGGCAGATGTATGTATGTGATAATGAAAATAGATAGATGTACCTGGGTGTGTACCATATGCTTATATAGCAGTTATGATGCCGCCTTCATGAGGCGGTATAGCTTCTGATTGACCTTATTTGGGCTGCAGGTCAGATTATGACCTAAGTAGCCTTATCTCTTATTACTAGGTTACCTGAGTAGAGTCGCGGCGAGCTGTCCTCTGTTTATTAGTTTCAAGGCGCGGTTAGCTTGCCTTGGTTCTTAAGTTAGCTTCCTTATTTCTGAGGATCTTATAACAAAGGGCGGTTTCATGCGCGATAGGAGCATCGCGTCTTGCCATGCGCAAAGGGGTTATCGCGTCTAGCCTTGTGCGCGATGTTAACCATCACGCTTTGCTCTGGACCCTTCATAAGATTGGGCTTCCTTGCATATTATTGGGCCTCTAATGAGCTTACTATATCTTATCCAGATCAGATAGAATTTAACACTTTAAAAATTTAAAGATATTGAATATTTTAGCTTTTTAAATAGTTTTTATTTTTATTTTTTTAATTTATGCCATAAGAGAACAAAATTACAAAATCTCATAAAATTTACCTTAATTCAACTGAATTCAGCTTTGACTAAAGTGGGGTAAAAGTTTTTAAGAAAAAGTGTAGAGTTACAATGATCAAAAAATTAAGTTGGAATTGTGATAAAATATATTTCATATTTTTTTTATAATCAAATATATTTCATATTTAATAAATTATAAAGTTAAAAGTTAATATGTTACTTTTTTAATTAACAATTATAATTTATTACTTTACCTTTTAAAGAGTGTCATTAGCTTTAAAAAGGCCAAATCACTCAATTGAAATAACAATAGGAACTAGGAAAAAGGACCGTATTGCATTATTATATTTACATTCACAAAAATGACAAGAATAATTGCTTGTTTGTTCCACTGTTGGGCTTCATGGATGGGGCAGGTCACTTGTTCCTCATATGGGCAGTCTAGTTCGAATTAGAAAGTATTAAAAACTATCAAATGGTGGTGTTAATAGTAAGGGAATTGAGTAAGTGGAAAGAAAAGAAGAATATTGGTTCAATTCTCATGTATTAACTTTGGGAGGAGTTTAAATATCTTCATCTCTTATCCATCTCGTTTTCGGATTAGTCTCATAGTCGACTTAAAGAGTCGAAACTTGTAAGAATATCGGGTAAGCTAATTCGCCTCAAAGAGATAATATCAAGAGATAATTAAGGTTCGGTTAACTTAAAAAAAAAAAGAATATTAAAAACTGTTCCTGGATAGAACAAGAAGTTAATCCCGTGAAAGACGTGGTTAGTCCGAAAGTTATAACTATCTCATTTCTAAAATGTTGTGTGGCAATTTGTACCTAACGTAATGTCTCCATTGGCATGTTTAATGACTAAGAAATCGAATAAAACATTAATAAGATGACGAAAGGCAATTTATTTAGACAAAAAATTCAAGCAGCCATCACTTATTACTAGAGCTAGAGCTGGCAAAACGGGCTAGTCTCGGAGGGCCAACCCGCCCAACCCGCCAAGCGGAGCGGGGCGAACTGAGTTTTTTAACCCATCTCAAAAGCGGAGTAGGGCGGGGCAAACTCATTTTTTGGCGGGTTGATGGCAGGCATAGGCGGGCCAACCCGCCCAACCCGCCAAACGGGGCGGGGCGGACTGAGTTTTTCAGCCCACTTTCAAAAGCGGGACGGGGCGAATTGACTTATTTTTTGGCGGGTTGATGGCGAGGCGGGGCGGGGCGGACTGCCCACTTTGCCACCTCTACTTATGACTACGCTGTATTTTGATTCTCCATCTCTCTTCGCTTTCTTAATTAATCTATACTTTTAATTTGGTGGCCACAAGTGGAAATACTTAAGATAAAGTTTCCTCTACCTCTCATTAAAATTATTATGTCAAGTAAGAGAGTTTTAATTATTAATAGACAAATTAATATTGATAATTTATCACTTTTTATTCCGATATTTTTCTTTCTCATCTCTCATTATAGTTGATTTATTTTAGCAATTAATGGTTAAGATCCTTCTATATAATATGATCATATTAAATATTACATAAAAAAATTCATTATCATCCTCCACATTGGCACGTTCACATGCATTGTACTATTGTGCACAAAATTAAAAATTAGAAACAAGTGTTGCAAAATTATAATGGCACACTCTGTATATCCGAAGTCTTTCATTGTCTTGCAATCTCATCCGATATTTAAGTGAGGACATATAAGTAGATTAAGTTACTATTTTAAGGTTTTGGTTCCACATGAAATATAAAGCTTATAAATGTGTTTTTTTTTTTTGGTAAACTATTTGTGTTTTTTGTTATGTCTACTTGGTGAAAAGTAAGCTCGAGAACAAGCTTATCGACTCAAAATTGAGCGAAAAAGTTAAAAATTGAAGAGCAATAAATAATATGTAGTGCTCTAAAATTTGCACATGATTTTTTTTGAAGTTTGAATAAGGTGAAATAAATTTATCATATCAGTATCTTTCAAAAAAATAAATAAAAGATAATCATATCAGTACTTGGATTATTTTATGATGGAATGAATGTAAGTTTTCATTTAATTGTTTGTAAAATGAACATAATGATAAAAATATTAGTAAAACAATAAATTATTTCCATTCCATATCACCAAATTAGAAAGAGGAGGGGGGGGTGTCAAGAGGTATTTAATGAAATGGAATGAAAAATATATTCCATTGTGTTTCATATCATTCTACCCATTTTTGAGTAATTTCAAATAATGATAGCTAATATTATTCTATTCTATTACTATATAAATTATTCATTTCCATCAATCCAAACATAGGTTGAGGCAATGTTATTAAGTTTAGATGGTCATTAATTCGGTTGAAATACTAGGTGAACGAGTCACAGATTCAACTGCAGTAATTGAATTTATATAAAGATATATAATAAATTAATAAATAAAAATAACATAATAATCAAAGTAATGTAATTTAGTGATTAGCATTTTACTCAACCAATATGGTATCGAGTTTTCAGAAGCAATTACTCGTGATTCAAACCTAGCATATCTTTTTCAACAACAATTTTGTTTTTTCATTCAGCGCAACAATCAACTCCAATGTTCATTCTTCATAATACTTTAACTGAAATTTGTATTTTGCATGACAATTAAAAATAGAGATATATTTTTACAAGGCCATTTTGTTTTTTGCAGTTGATTCTCCTGAAATAGTTTCTAAATGAGAAATCATACTTTAGTGATAGTAATGAAAAAAAGTTATGATGTGTTTTGAGTTGATTAGGCACCACAATTCAGCTTCTCTCTTAATTTAGATTCTCCCTCTCCCTCTCGCTGGTAATGAACAACAGGATATTATTTATCTTTTGTTATTTTTCTTCATCTTATTTTGTGATTAAACAAAATGATCCATCATGGTTGGCGAAGGCTTTGTTTTTGTTGGCCCATGATTCGGTGCAGCCTCATCTGGCCTAACAATGGAATCTGTTAACATAGGCTCTTCAAGAATAATTTTATTGGCCCAATTTGGGAAGCCTTTATTTTGTACCAATGTCCAAACACAGACTTTTATAGAAGACGAAGAGAAAAAGTCCAACAACCTTAACGGTGTGTTAAGTTCGGAAGAAAAAAAATTTCACTAGAAAAGTAGAATTATTAGAAAAATTATTGGAAAGTTATTTTAGTAGGAAAGTTTGAAATAAGTTGTTTGGTATGCGCAAATATTACTGAAAAAATTAGGTTAAGTTTTCTAACTGTATGTTTGGTTGAAGTGAAAATATTAATGAGAAAATTGATTTAAAATATTAAAATGCCCTTTTTTTTAAACTTTTTGAATGTGAATTACCGTTGGACATTTTAGTTTGAATATGCTTTCCATTTTTGTCTATATTTAGCCGGACAACCACAAATACTATCTTAGAATTGTCTGTCTAACCAATGATTTTTACAAGCAAATTTCAAATGTTATGCAAATGTGGTACCTGGGAAAAAATTACAATTCTCTTTACCAAACATGGCTTGCACTGTTTCCCAACCTCAAATGCATAGGAAAATATTTAAAAATCCTGAACCAAACGCCACCTAAAGTTATTATTATTTCAATAGGGAAAGAAAACTAAAGTCACCCTAAACTTTATAATTTTTTTAAATAGGTGTTTAATTTCGTTCTATTTAGTTTCTAAACTCCTATCGTTGTTGCAGTAGATCCTTCTGTTAACTTGTGATTAACTTAATTACTAACAGCGAATAAATTCTAACCGTTCGGCCTCACTGAATATAAAACATTCATTTGTAATTTTTAATTAAGAAAAACCATATTATCTTAAATTTTTTAATCTCTTAAGTTTAAATAAGACTAAAAGAGAGAGAACGTTTGAAACATTACCCCTTTCTCGACCAAGATGAAAATGAACCCCATCTTTGTTGATCCATATTTGTAGATTAACTTGTTTCTATTTATTAAACAAAATGTGCTTCTACTAAGAGCTAGTCCTATTGTGTCAAAATTGCTCTCTTGTTATTGCTGTTGCCAAGTTGTTTGCTAATTAGAAAAATCTAATAAAAAATTATTAATGTAAACAATTAATAAGTTTAAGTTATTCAGTTGAATTAGTTCCGTTATATCATATGAGAGATTATTCAGAAAGATCGCTTATTATTTTATCTGATATTGAATTGATCATGACAAAGGCCTCAAATGGAACAGCAAGAGCGATATTAAACCTAGTTTAAATCAAAAATTAGTGTGCTAAGAGATATCAACCATTCTTGTTCATGCACCAAACTATTTAATTTTTTAAGTTGATTTAATCCTTGACAAAATTATTTGTGTCTGTAATTCTCTTGAGTTTTCCTATTTACTTATTTTGTCTGTTTAATCAGCAGTGAAGACCTTGAGACTCTAAAAACTTTGAGCTTTCCTTAAAATAGTAACCAAAATTAGAGAACAGAGAAAAACGTCTCTCCATGACATTGTATGCATAACAAGCCTGTCCTGTGACTAATAGCTGGAGTTAACTTTGTCTCCTTTTGTAACATCACAGGCGCTTCATGCTGTAGTGCATATGAAGCTGGACTCATCTATGATGCAGTAATGATACTGATAGGAGGCTATTACCGCATCATATAAGCTTTCAAATTGTAGTGATATGAATAAAATCCTGCGGGGTTAATCATCGTATATGATTAAACTTTTCATATAAATTATGCTAGAATAAAATATTAACAGAACATATGGCAGGTATCAGGGATAGATAACAGTTGTATGAAGGCTTTTCTGGTTAATCATTTCACCTCCTTCTATTAACTTTTCTCCTCAACTTCTTAGTTTTACCATCATTAACTAAAAATAATATATTTTATAACACAAAATTGATGTTGTGATAGCCTCATAGATGACCGCATCACCGCATCACATGACTACAAAAATCAATTAATCATTAGACCCATTTCCCAGAATGATACTGATAGGAGGCTATTACCGCATCATAGGCTACTTGAAAACCTGCCATATGTTCTGGCTAGCCTTAATTATAGGTTTGAGAATTTTATTTTATTTTATTTTTAATGAAATAGATTTGAGAAGTTAGACTATGCCTTTAGTTATGTTTTATTCCGGTCGAATGATTTTGCCTCGCCAACTCAAATGGCCGCCTGACAAGACCATCAACACTTAAAATGTGGAGTATGTGACTTCTCTGTACATGTGCCCCTCGCACTCCCCACACATTTACAACCTTTTACATGTAAGAGGCTTCACACCTAATGGTGCCCACAAGGCTGGAAACGATTATGGCATAACCGTAGGACTAGAAACGATTATGACATCACATTTTACGACTATACTAAAATCTCACTTCAACCATAGCTAGTCCGAGGCAAGTATAGAGACTTCACAGAACTCTATGGTCTATACCACGCTCTTATTTTTGCCAGATTAACATCCTATAGGAAAAAAAATCCATACCTTCATAATCTGATTGAGTTGAAGTGCATAACGAAATTGAAAGCGTAAATATATTTGATAAAAAATGAGTAAATAAAGCTGTATTTATATTTGATTTAATTGAAAGTGTACTATGACTTTAACTTACCGAAATTTAAAATTATATGTATTTTTTACTTGATCAATTTAAAGATAAACTCATGTTTGAGTTTTCTGGCGGCTTCTTTTACCAAGTAATTGGCTTCCAATGGTTGTTTGTACGGTTTGAATGGTTATTCTTCTAGTTATAGCAGGCCAACCACGCAACCGTAAAAAAAGGAAAAAAAGAAAGAAATAAAAACGTGTGACTCGGATTAGTGGTGATCCAGAGGAATTGATGGTACAGGGCAAAATCATATCTTTCTTTTATGTATCCACCAAGGCCGAAAGTAGATTCTAATGTTCCATGCCATCAATTTATAATGGACAGGGAGCGTTCTCCCTGTATTTGGTGATGACCATTTTCAACATCCTTTGTTGTTTACCTAGTGCAATATCATTAAGAAAAACTAATAAAAGCCTTAAAATGGGGAGCGAGACCCGTTTGTGTTTACCTATTGATTAAATGATATAGTTTTGTACAGGTGTGCCATGCTAAGACTGTTAATTGCTGTTTTTAATAAACTAAAAGTTTCAGAAAACAAAAACAAAAAGGAAAAGGAAGGCAAACGTGAAGAAATGAATGAAACTTGTACGGTATGTTAACATGATTGGGAGAAGCAAAAGCATGACGCCATGGGTAAGGGAATCTTTCAAAGTGTTGAATGCAATTATAGGCGTAGTTTGGAGACTTAGCAAATAGGCTTGCTTATGAGTTGGCCTTGTTATTTTGAGAATAGTAACCTTTGGTTAATAATATGTTTACAATGCGCTTCCTTTATTATTAACTTGTTCTTATCTAGTTTTCTCTCCTCTCTGAGAAGGGGATTATAAAACATCAATGTGAGCTTAATCATTGCATTTTACTAAATTACAAGATTGAGTTAATATTTATTCTTTAATCTAGTCAATGAGAGCAAAAGGGTTTACGGGCCCTAGCTTGGGAACTCTAAGAAGCTTCTCAAGCTCGCGGTTAATTCCCACCATTGGGTTATAGTATTCACGGTGTATTTGGATTAGAGATACGTCTTAACTGAACTAGGTTAAGTGTGTCAATGGAATTTATATAAGTGAATTATATTTTTTATAGAATTCAAAAGTTCGAACTTTAAATACATCACTTATAAAGAAGACCTAATTATATCACGTGAAAACAAAAAAAGCAACAATGGATTTATGTTACCAAAAGGATTGAGAGAAAAAGTATAAACAATAGAGTGAGATGATGCTCTGTACGAGGAACAGAATAAAAAGGAAAGAAAAGAAAAACTATTTTACTAGTTGTGAGTTGTGACCATGGCGATGGACCGTCCGAATATAAACTAATATGTTGTGGTGATCTCACCAGAACCAACTAAGCCATATCCGACAGAAGCATATATATTAGCCTTAACTAATAACTAGATTGGTTACCTGTGGTGGTTGTGACCAAATCAATGAATAGAAGCCACGTTGCCACTTGGATAAACTTCACAATCACATGTAGAAGAATCTGTTTATCCAACTGCCACCTATTTGGTAAGATTTATATTACAACCTTTGACTTCATACCCACAAAACTGAAAGGGCCATTCTCATTAGGAAGATCTGACGGTTGATATGAGCTTCACTCACAAAAAGCCAGTGAGATTGGAACAATTTCTCTGTTTTATTTTCTAGAGTAGTATTAGTGCATAAAGAACCAGTACAATCAGAGCGCAAGATGATGCCCTTAATAGAATAATTGAGCGTGCAATGTGACATAGGAAAATCAATTGTAGTTCTGTCAATGTTCAAGATGATACCCTTAAATAATTGAGAGCATGCAAAGTGAGTATGTGACATGGAAAAGGAAATTGTAGTTCTCTCAATGTGGAACCGGAAAGTGTGGTGGGTTCCATGCGGCAGATACGGTTGCTCTTAATTCCACCACTTAGCCTTTTTGGTATAACCATCGTTCAATTTCGGAATTAGAAATCCTCGTCTACCATTCTTTTTTTAGAGCCTATGACTATGCCAGGAGAGGCTATTGAGGCCATGATCATGACACCCTTTAGAATATTATGGGGGCGAATAGGACCTATAAATAAATTAATCAATTAGATTTATTTATTTATTTATTTTCAAAGGCTAGCTAGCTTTGAAAGAATGTCCCTATACGCCTTGCCATTCCCCTAACAGCATCCATTATTAATTGATTTCCCTTTTCCTACATCAACACGAAATTCCTGTATGCAAACTTAACAAACACGGTGACACGGAAACTCAAGTCCTCCACCTGTTTATTTATATATATATAGATCTATAACTTTGTTCTGTCATTAATTTGTGGACCTCTTCTTCCCCCTTTTCTTTTGTGGCCATTGGTTTATAGTTATTCATCAATTATCATTATAATCAATCTCTCCCCCCTTCTTTCTCTCCCTCTCTTTCTCTCTCAATGAGAAACACATACAGCAAAACATGACAAGCAAAGGAACTGACACAACAGGACAACCCAACACAGAGTGTTGCATGTGTGGGGATCTCGGTTTCTCTGACCAGCTTTTTCAATGCAAAGTCTGTCAATTCAGATCTCAACACAGGTAAAAAAAATAAAAAAAATCACTTTTTCTCTTGTATGGTTTAATCATAACTAACTAGAATGTTATTGGGTTGAGTTATTTTGTTTCCTTTTAATCACCCTCCATGCTTGTCGAATTTGGCAGATACTGTAGTAATATCTACCCCAAAGACGAGTCTCTTGGAACCTGCAATTGGTGTTTGAGTCAGAAAGAGGATACCAAAGATAAGTCACCAAACTCTCCAAATTCTTCATCATCTCATAGGAACAACAGCAGCGCCGATGATGAGAGCAAGGGGAAGAAAATCAAGAACAGTAACAGTAACAGTAACAGTGCTCAAACTATTGTAGGCAGAAAGGGACTTAGAGGGAGTGCCCTTCATCTTCAACTGCAGAAACCCATCAAGAAACACAAGTCACCAGAGGCAAGATCACCATCCACGTCCACATCTCCATCGGTTTTGATTTCAACACGCAAGAGGATCATCACCAACGGTTCTTTGGAGGAAAAGTTGAGAAGGACCAGGTCAGCAGACATCATCACAAACACCAGTAGTGGTGCCACGAAGCAGGTCTTTAGGAATAAGGTCAGAAGGTACAAGCTTTTGGATGAAGTTTCAAGTTAAAATAAAATAAGCTTTAACTAGAAAAAAGAGAGTTTTGTGAGAGATGAATGAATATATATATATATATATATATATATATAAGAAAGAAAAAGTTCATGGTTTTTTGTTTCCTTTTGGGCTCCAAATTTTTGTCCCAATACAATGTATAGAACAATGGTGAATGAATGAGCTATAAAAATGTTTAGACACACTATTACTTGCCAGTTGCCATTCCCAATATTTCCATTTTCTCCTCGAATATCATTAACTTGCAAGGAAATTTAGGATTTAGTTTGTCAATTGAATATCAATGCGGTTTGAGAAAGAATGCTCTGACAGCATAATTCACCATATATATCATCTTCTAAGCTATTAAGAGTGAGTTAATGATGAAGAGTTTGGATAATTTGTAGAGTTTTAGGTTCAGATTTCAATTGTGACAAAATCTTCATATACCCTCTTATATTTTTCTCTAAAATATATAATAGCATCCGTTCCATTCAATGGGTTGGAAACTTGAAGGGAAAATTAGAGAAGCAAAGCATGGTTAGCTTTGTTTTTTCATTCTAATTAATGTGAATGAGAGAGATTGAGCTCAGTGTATGAGACACAAGATTCTTAAGTGAATCATGATCATAAAGTCCATAGAGAGAGCGCTTTGTAATTGTAAGTTTGCTAGAAGTTTCTAGGCAACATGGCACACGCTTTTGAAGTGGGGTTATGTCCTTGAAGGACGGAGAATCAATTTACACAGTACCGGACAAAGCTTGACTGTGAGGTCAACTGCAACTTGTGTGAAGTTTTTATTTACACCAATCGCTGCGAGATACAATCTTGTATTGTGGACACCAATTTGCTTTCGCACAAGAATATTTTGCTGCTTTTTGAATTTAGATTGCACACTGACATAGATTCCTAGGAAAATATTGGAAATATGGTTTGATTTAATGCCTAATTATGAAGAAAATGAATCATTTAGAATAAATTGACTTGTGAAGTGCAAAATTGTGGAAACTTGATGCCATTGCCATACAATACAAGCCAATCAATCACCTTTTTTTTTTTTTTTTTTTGAAATACTCCAATCAAACACCTTTTGTTAATGCTAAAAAAATCCCGCATTTTCCAGGGATATTATTGGATCTAAGTACGGTTTACGCCTTTCTTTGCGTAGTGCTTTTATTTTTTATGGAGATGCAACTGGCTAATAAATCTTGCATTAAACGGGTCATTATTCTAAATTTAACGTGTAACGTGGAGGAATAAATAATAACAATAAAAATCGGCACGCAGGTTTAGAAAACACACTTGTTCATTGCAACTTAAGATGGAATTGAAGGAACTGGATGTAGCATTATTCTCTGGCGCTGCTCAAAGAGGATTATTACATAAGGAGAATGTTAGAAAAGGGTCACTTATTGCACATAATTATTGGATTGTACTGTACAAAAGTATTTAGGTAATTTTCATTTTAGGATTTATGTTATAAGATAAATGTCAATTTTTTTCTTTTTCTTTCTTTTATCAGAACTAATGGTGCAAATCACAAATTTTTATCTTGGAAAGATTTTACCTAACTGCTGTTTTTGTTTAAAAGATTAGTCTCATAATAATATATGTAGAAATATCCTACCGTAAGAAAAAAAAAGTACGATTTTTGTAATTATATTATATTGTCCAAACTACTACACTAATTTTATATTAGTAGTATAAAGGAGATTTCCTCCCTCGGAACCTTTTTTTTATCATCAAAATGTTAATATAATTTAAAAATAAGTTAAAAAAATTATTACATCACCACTTAGGGTTATAATAAATTTCGTGCGAGTGTGACTAATTTTGTTTAATATATTTCAATAATATTTTTCAAACAAATAAGATGTCTGATGTCTGATGTCTGGAGAAAAAGTTTGCTTGTGCATATTTACAAAGATAAGGGAGATATTCAGAATTGTTCTAACTATAGAGGCATTAAACTTATGAGTCATACTATGAAGTTGTGGTAATTATTGAACACCGGTTGAGGAAAGAAATCAATGTCTCTGTAAATCATTTTGGCTTTATATCAGGAAGATGTACCATGGAAGCCATTTTCTTGATGCGACAATTAATGGAAAGATATCAAGAAAATAAAAAGGACTTACATATGGTGTTTATAGATTTTGAGAGGCATACGATAGGGTCCCAAGAAAAGTATTATGGTAAGTTCTTGAGAAGAAAAAAGTACCAATAAAGTATGTAGATGCAATCAAGGATACGTATGATGGTGCTACTACATGTTCGAAAGCTTGTAATGGAACATCAAACAATTTTCCTATCACGGTAAGTGTACACCAAGGCTCTGCTCTAAGTCCTTATCTTTTTACTTTGGTTATGGATAAACTCACAAAAGATATTAAAGAGAAAGTGCCATGATATATGCATTTTGCAAATGATATTGTGCTTACTGATGAGACCAAGGCTAGTGTTAATAGAAAACTAGAATTTTGGATAAGCATGTTAGAGTCTAAAGGATTGTGGCAATAGATCGAGATCAAGATTCCGTATATTTGCTTGGACAACAGGTATCCAAGAAAGATGCTTTCAGATATTTGTGATTAGTTTTGCAAAAAAGTGAAAATATTGACGAAGATGTAAATCATAGAATCAGAGCAAGGTAGATAAAATGACGTAGTGCATCTGGATTTTTGTGTGACCGTAAAATTTCCCTTAAGCTAAATTTTTTTTCTATAGAACAACAGTGATGTCTGCTATGTTATATGGAGCTGAATGTTGGCCAACACATAGGCAATATGAGCATAAAATGAGAGTAATAGAAATGAGGATGATAAGATTGGTGTGTGGTTATACGAGAATGGATAAGATAAGAAATAAAGATATTCGACGAAAGGTGAGAGTAGTAACGGTGGCGAAAAAGATGAGAGAACATAGATTGAGGTGGTTTTGACATGTAAGAGAAGGCCCCTGGAAGCTCCCATTAGAACAAAAGTTTGTTACCAAGAGCTTGATACAAATAGAGGTAGAGATAGACTGAAACTTACTTGCGGGAAGGTAATAAAACAAGATCTAATGGAGTGGGATATAGATTGACGGACAGTGTGTCTTAGGACGGAGTGGAGAAAAACTATAAGTGGTGAAGGGCTAGACGCACTTTTATTCCTATGTTTGAGACAGTCTCGTTTTAGTCATTTTCTCTTTATCTCCCCCCTCTCTTTCTTTTTCCTTCTTTTCTTCTATTTCATTTTTCCTTTCAATCTTCTTTCTTTTACGTATTTTTTTTTTCTTTTTTCTTTTCCCCCTATATTTTATTGTATTTTATTTTACTTTTTATTCTATTTTTTATATTTTACCTTCTTATTCTTATTCCTCCTATATATTCTTATTTGTTTTTTTTAATTTTTTTTTCCGTCCAAAACTGAACTACCTTTTATGGATAATATACTTAAAGTTTATTTTTATCTTTTTTCTCAATCTTTTCATATCTTTTTTTTTGAGTTTATCTACCACCATCCTAAGTAATTTGAGATAAAGGTATCGTTGATATTAATATCTCAATCATTGACAATGAACTACCAAATGATGGTAGCTCAGTTAGTGTGAAAAAATTAAGCATGTGAGGATGAGAGCATGTCTCAAATATCATCTTTGGGAAGAATTTAAAGTCTTAATCTCGGGACCCGTTCCAAATCGAACTAGTCGCGAAGCAATAAACCAATTGAAATATTTCAAAAAATAACAAAAAAAAAAATAACCATGAACTAGTTATATCTTTATTTTGAATATTATCTAACTCAACCACTATAATATAGTCACAAATCAACTAATTGAATGAATCGAATTAGGATATAAAATTTTTCCTGGTTTAATTTTTAATTGATTTTACAACATCGATCCCAATGCAATAGCACTTTGATATAAGTAAAGGTAGGTGCATGGAACGGGATTTCGAGAAATGATCCTCTCATCACGTTCTCAGGGGTCAAATGAAAAAAAAATCCCATAGTTCCCGTTTCCGAAGTGTCAAATGTTTCTAGTTTATGTACATTAAATGAATATGATCCCATCCTAATTAAAATAATAAAATCCAATGTTACCCAATAGTTTAATTGGGGAAAAAAATCTCAAATTACTCCAAGTTTTTGATATTATCTTTTGATATCATCATTTCCAATCATCTATACGGTAATTTTCGACCGATAAACGTCCGTCGAAGGTTCAAACGAAAATACTCATTAATTCTCAAGTAAAGAGATATTGACTAATGTATTGAAGAATATTCCTTTGACGTTAATTCCTTCTTTATTAGTATAAAATTAAATGCACCGTTTTATTAGCTCATGAACTAAAGGTGAGAAGGACATATTTCCGATGATAGCTACTGTTTCATTTTCTATGACCAATGTTTGCAATCAAATTTGTCATTTAGGGTTTCTTCATATCCATGAATGCGGGAATTGATGAGCAAGCTATCCAATGAAAATCAATAAACTAATTAATGTGAATTTCAAAGAACAGAAGAGGAGCTTACTCAACAAAAGGAAATGATGGCAAATTTGACTCATATTTTAGACGATCTGCAAAGGACGGTGTTCAATATGACGCTAGTAATTAACTGAAGCCCCTAGCCAAGCTAATATTGATCCCAATTGACAATGAAGATGAGGATAATTATGATGATCATGAAGAACTTGTTCATGATCGATATGAGTTCTATTAGTTTTTATTTAATGTGATCGTTAATTTTTCGTTATTTGTTTATTTCGATCTCATTGTTGATACTTTTGTATTGTTACAACATTTGGTTATATATTGCTGATACTAAATAATGTGTTAGACTGTATATCTATTGGCTGGTTAATTGACTATTATTGTGTTGTTATTGCTGGAATCCAAATTGGCTGATGATTCATCCGATCATGATTATTATTATTTTTTATTTTAATGGTGATATATATATATATATAGGGATTATATGCAGTATAGGTTTTTCGTAGAATTTAAGCAAATATTTTCAACAAAATTTATTATTCGTGAAATGATCAACCATTATCATTAACTACAAAAACAATAGTCGAAATTTGTTACAACTTTTTCCACGGAAATTGTCAATCTCAATTTTTGACGGAATATCTACGTCGACGGAAAAAGAACGTCATAATTTTCTACGAAATATATACGTCGCAACTTTTAAAAAAATTTCTG